CACCCGATGAGAAGTCGGTGCCCAGGGACAGGTGCCCGCCCCACACACGCCCAAATCCAGGAACCCGGCCTGGTGATGGGACAGCCAGCTGACCTTGTCCCCAGGGTCACTCACCTTGACTACAGGCGGTGTGGGAGGGACCACAGGGATGAGGGGCGTCGAGGGAGGAGGCGGGGCGGCAGCCGGGGGAACGGGGACCGACGTGATGTTTGCAGTGATGGTTGGCACTGGGGTGGCAGCAATGACAGGCGTCTGGGAGACAGTGGGGGGGACGCTCTGGAAGGGGGTTGCTGGGGAGACAGAGGACACAGCCGCCACTTGCTGCGTACCTTGAAGACAAGGAAAGGATGTTGAACACACCAGGCTCTACCTGTCAGCTTCCGGAAGCTTCCTGAACCATCCCCTCCAGCCAGAGCACATCAGTGCCAGGGAGCCCCTCCTCCTGAGACCCCTGGCCCCTGCACCGTGGCTGCCTCCACAGAACCAGCCTCCACAGGCGCTCACCCAACAAAGGAAAGGCACTACCTCCGGCCAGAGACCGGAGTCTGAATGAGGAAGGCTGGACAAGGTGCAGCCTGGAAGAGCCAGGCTCGGGCCCGAGAAACCGGGGCTTAACTCAGACTCCACCAATAGCCAGCTGAGTGACCTGGGCAGAGCTACTTAACCACCCATGGTCCTATCTGCCAAGCGGGATGGCTGGCACTGGTGGGGACCCACCACAGCCTCCTGGAGGGCTGGGGAGTTGGGCCAGTCTCTCCATCGGGGCGCACCTCTAGTCCCCGTCCCTGGACCAGGTAAGACCCCCAGGGCTCCTAGGGCTAATCCTGATCCCCTTCCACCCTCCCTGACGGGTGACACAGCCCCTCTCCTGTCCCAGAGCATACAACACCTGCTAGAGAGGCAACGTCCTAGGGGGACAAAAGATCTCCCATCTAGACTTCTGGAAGAGGTGGCGTCTGCACGGGGGCACGGCAAGACCAGTCTCCCCACCAGAGTAGGCTCGAAGGCAGATGGTAACAACGCCACCAAGAGCCAGCCGTGTTGCCCCAACTTCACAGACAGGGACACTGAGCTCAGAGGGGCCAAGAGACCCACACTAGAAATGCTACAGAAAGACGGCACCGTCCACCCCGTTACCTGCACTCTGGGTTCCTGCAGCCGGTTTCCGGCCTTTGCCCTTCGGAGCAGGGGGTAATAATTCAACTTCCTCCTGGGGCATCTGGGCCACTTTCTGCAGAAAAATTTTCTCTAAGGCTTGGGCCATTAGCACTATGTCATCTGTGGGCTGAAGACACAGGGAGAGCCAACGTCACTTGTTGGGCGAGGGGCCACGTGCTTGCAAAGACATCACCGGTTTTGGCTCAAGATTTGTTAAAAAATCCATTCAGAGATTTGGTAGGGCAGGCGATGGGGGAGACGAAAGGACCTTATTTCACTGTGGAGACTCTCGAAAGAATTCAGAAAACCAAGAAGAACAAGAACCACCCTTCGGCCTACCGCGCGCAGAAAACAGAACCTTCCACTCAGTCCAACTCAATTCACCTTTGCTATATCCCGTCACGATCGGAAAACAACAAAACCCCCACCAAGTCAGGACCACGTGGAACTTCCCTAATCTACTCTTCTCGCTAAAACCATCTTCTCACTAAAAACCACCTTCTTACTAAAAACCATCATGAACACATGCTCCCTGGTCGTGCAGTGGCCTGGCCACGTGGGGCGGCTGCATGTGGATGTCACGGCGCGCTCGACCGCCCTCCGGCCGCCATGCATGTGCGTGTTGTGGCTCTACCCCCGTGAGCCCGCGCTGACCCCGTCACCGTCCTGACAGCTGGAGTTTCGAGGTCCGAGGGCACGATCAGTTCAAAGCGTTTGATACGTAAGGTGCCCCCCAAAGGCTGCTCCAGGCTTCACTCCCCCCCCCGGGGGGGGGCGTGGACAGCACATGGGAGCCCAGAGTGGGGACTGTGGCCTCGGGGTGACACGCCCCCCCGTCTGAGAGCCGCTACAGAGCCCAGGCCCGGCCAGAGGGTCCCCTCAGCACTGGGGGAGCCATGTCCCATGTCCCAGTGCTTTCTTACCTTGTTATAAATGTAACAATTTGTAAACATGGTGTTGAAGTCCTGCATACATTCGCTCGCGCTCCAGTAATAATTATTTTCTAGTCTCTTCTTAATAGTCCCCATGTCCATTGGGTTTTTTATGATTTTATGATAATCCTGGGAAAGAGATTTTCAGAGGCATCGTCAGCAGATTCTGTGGCGTTGTGTTCACCATCCCCGAGGAGGGTGATTGCACACGGAGCATCTTCTCGGGTGAGCTGGGCACCGGGGTCGGGCCAAAGGCAGTGTCTGGTCAGCTGAGGGCAGGTACAGGGTCTAGGGCAAGCGCCCGGCCCACTTCCAAACCCCTGCCACACCTCTCGCCCGACAGATTCCACCTGGACAGGCGGTTCTTAGAGATGCACGGAACTGGGCACCTGGGGCAGGCCCCAGAGCTGATCAGCACTGTGGCGAGGGGGCTGAGCCCCCTCTCAGACTCCAAACCCAAGGCCCGCCGGTGACCAGTACTGAGCTGGGCCCAGAACCCAGGCCACCAACTAGTGGCCCAGGGCTTCCCCAGGCAACACTGGGGGTTTCTCTATTTGGGTCCAAATAAGAAACCCATGAGAAGACTAGGCCAGCACTGAAGGGGCAGATGGGCAGCTTCCCCTGGAAAGAGGGCCACAACCTGCACTGAGCATCTGACCGCAGCAGGGGGCAGAGGCATGGTCCTACAGGAGGGTACAGGGGAACAGCAGGGAGGCACAGGTTCTCCCCTGCTCCCTACATTTGGGGACCACCGCCCTCCACACTCCCACACCCCTGAGGAGCCCCTCCGCTCCTCGGTCACCACAGGCCCTGCGCTGTGCCTGGCTTACCGGCACCACAGCTGCCTGGGCCCAAGGGCAGTCCTTCCAGGAGGGGAGCAAGAGAGGGACAGGGATGCCAGTGGGTGGGGGAGGGGCAGGGATGCCGGGGCGGGGGGGAGGGGGGCACTCACAGGCAGGTTGAGCTTAATTGCGTCCACGGGCTGGTAGAAGGGCCAAGCAAACTGGTGTTTCCAGAGCGTCTTCACCACCACATTCTGCATGTACTGCAGCTGGTTGGTCTTGCGGCCGGGCTTGGCAGGGTTGGAGACCTCCGGTGGGGGCGGGTTCACCGGGCCCGGGGCTGCCGGGATCCCCGCAGGGGCGACCGTCGTCGTGGTGGACATCCTCCGTGGCTCACTCACTGGCCGTCACAGCAGAGGCTCGAGGCCCTCGCTTCCACTATGCTCCTTTCGGAGGCCTGACATCCCATTTCTGGGCCCAACCGGGCAGCACCTACAGGGGAGGAGGGACGGCAGAGACAGGCCGGTCACCCAGGCCCCACCACCTCTCCCAGCCTTGTGGGCTCCCGAGCACACCCGAGTGGTCACAGTGAGGCCAGCTCACGTCACTCACGCCACTCAGCCCAGCCCTCACCTGTCACGGACCCACTCTCTAACTACTGCTCTCAAGCTGGGGCAGGGACGTGACGTGAACACAGGCCGCCCGGGCAGGGGCGGGTAACGCAAGGGCGGGAAGGTGGCGGTCCAGGCACACAGCCAGCAGTGGGGGGCGGGGGCCCAGGACGCGGCCTCTCCTGGCTCACTGCCCACCAACTGCCTGCCTGCTGGGGGCTGACTCAGGCTGTTCTTGATCGTGGCAATTTTGGGGGAACGATTCACACGTAGAGAGTGCTCTGGCATCGACCCCACAGAGCTGAGCTGGGCAGGCAGAGCGTTTGCGGAACCACGCGTGGCGTGCGGAGCTGGGCCCCTTTGGGGCGAGGTTCCGATGTAACCATGAGAACCAGAGCTGGTTTTGTGATGATGAGCCAGGGTGTGACACGCCCAGCCCCAGGCCAATGGGGGCAGGCAGGAGGAGGTGCACCTCACCCCGCGCTCTCAGCAAATGCGGGCCTGCTGCAAACCTCACGCATCCCCCACCAGCTTTCAGGAATGCTGGCCAGACTCACGGCTGGGAAGGAAGATGACCAACTACGCCCCAGAACCAACAGGCCAGTCCTGACATCAGAAGCCCCACTGTTTCCTGGATGGAAGCTGCTGGCCCCTTTTACTTGTAGGGCCCAGAGCAGACTGCGGACCACACGTGGAATAAGAACACCAGGCCATGTTTGTGTGCCCTGCCAGACTTTGCATTATGTGTCCTTGTCACGATATTCAGACAGGTTGGGGCTCAGTGGCAGCACCCACAGCACAAGGGGCTGGATGGAGCTGGGGGACAGACAGCAGAACATCAGGGCCCTGGAATCAGCCACCCTTCCTACAATTTGCACAGCAGATCGTTCAAGTTTTGAGAATCTCGTGAGCTGGTTAACATCCTGTTGGTAGCTTGCCACCTGCCACGTGGGCGTGTTTGCACCAAAGAAATTGACACTTGCTACAAACCACTCCAATCAGAGTGAAAAGGGTTCAAGCGGATAGCAGATACATCTCACCCACCAAGACCTGCTCCACATTCAAGGGACACCCTGGAAGCCCCTCGAGGCTCCATGCCCATCACCCCAGGGGACCCGGGGAAGCCACAGCCCCTCCCCTCTTCCACACCCTCCCAGGCGAGCTGGCCCCTCTCCTGCTTCTCCCCCTCACCAAGCCAGGGCCGCGGCACGGGCAGCACAGTGCCCACGGCCCCCACCAGCTGCTCAGTGGGGGCAGCGCTGTGCCAGCTCGCGCTAATGGCACTGAGGGTGGGTCTTCACCACCAGAAAGCCGTGGGAGCCTAGAGCAAACCTGGGTCATCCCTCACGCCCCACTGCCCCACCCCCAGCAGGTCAGCAAGTGCAAACTTGGCCTGAGCACCGCCACTACCTGTGGGGATCTCCCCGGTGGCCTGCCCTCCCTACATGTCCAGCAGGTGGATGGATGCCCAGCACCTAGCACTGCTGCTGCTGCAGGTGCATGGCATAGAAAGCCAGGAAACAGGGTGCAGCCAGGGCCTAAATAATGACCTGGGGGGACATGGGCCAAAGTGCAGGCTGGCCTCCTCCAAGCATGAGGACGGGCAGGCATGCTCAGTGCAGGGACAGGCTCAGGCTGCCAGCAGGACTTGAGGCCTGCCCCACGGCCTCCCTCCTCCAGCTCTGGCCACCGCTCCAAACGTTTGGCTGAGCAGGAAGCCAGCTCTGACCACAAACACGGGAATGCATCCCCCAAACCTATCTTGAGGTAAGTGCCCAGGGGCAGCACATCAGCTGCCACAGGCCTGAGCCAGGCACTTGGAGGGGCTTCCTGGACTCTGCCGCACACCAGCCCCCTGCCACTGCCCACCACTGCCAGGGGATCCCAGACTGCACACCAGCCCACCCCCTCCCCCCACCGCCCACTACTGCCAGGGGATCCCAGACCGCACACCAGCCCACCCCCCTCTCCCCACTGCCCACCACTGCCAGGGGATCCCAGACCACATTGTTGGAGCTCTGAGCAGAGTGCCTGGTGCTGGCATGTGCTCCCTGAGGGCCAGTGGTCACTACAGGCCACAGGAGTCCTTCCACAGTGGCCCGAAGCGGATCCTGCCTCCAGCTCGACATCACCCACCCCGGCAGAGTCCGTGAGGCTCAGGGGAGACACGTGCAGAAAGGGCTGGGCACTCTCCAGCACACGGGTGTCCACACTCTGCGGTACTGACGGTAAGGGGCCCACCCCCTTTCTGCAAACACTTCGCTGAAACAGGGCGGGACCTCCCTCCCCCACTCAGCCCCCTGCAAACATCTGGGGACGGCCACAGGGCTCCTGGTGTGCTCTCAGGGTGGCAGTGTCCAGCCCTC